AAGTTAAAACAGATACTTCATGGAAAGACTGCAATTACTGGTTTTACGTATATAGACTCGAAGAGCCATTTTCTAACTAAGACTCCACTGAAACACAGCAAAAACCTCTTCTTCCTCCACTGAGGCCAAACACTGTGGCTATGCAAGTGTGTGTTAAACAAAGAACAGCGAAGGCAAACGTACAACTAGGTGTTCGTACTGAAATCAGAACCTGTCCCCGGCTGCGAGAGGAGACGTACGCAGCTACCCACCGAAAAAGCTGCCACCATCACACTTACTCCTGAAGGGCAGAGGAAAAGTGTTTTACTCGAATATCTGCACCGCTGAATTGCTTGTAGAAAACACTACTACAAAGTCACTTGAAGTACGTACTAACCAGCTCCTCTAAAATACCCTGCTCTCGGAAAAACGCCTATAAGAAGCCCACCTGCAGTTCTATTTAAGAGTTAAATTCCAGGTATGTTTAAATCTTACTGCAAATATTCTTCTCTCTTTAAATGCAGTTATTAAACAAACCGCTGAGTATTTCCTACTCAGAATCTTCTTGTCCATGTAAGGTAAATGAAATACAAAGCAAAGCTGAAACTCTAGTTTAGCTTAAATGTAATTCTAGAAATTTACCCAGCAACCAAGTTATTTTTGTGCATAACATTTAAGTAACACTAGGAAGAAAAAAAACAACCCACAGTGATTGATCCTCTAACCCTTGAGAATGAAGCAGCTTTTGTATGCACTTAAATACTTCTTTCTATACTGCCTTATGTATGGATCCTTCTACCACGTACTCAATTTTTCCTCTAGGTTTTTTTTTCCCCTCCAGAATTTTTATTTTTATTTCTTTTTTAAAGCATGACAGCTCCACTCCTCTTTTCTTCCCTTTAATACCAACAGTTGAGTACCTGGTTAAAGCTACTGTCGTACTATGGAATAAACGTACACCAGTTATGTCCCATCAGATAGCCACACGTAACAAATGAAAGAGGGATGACTGACTTCGAAAGAAAAAAAAAAAAAAAAAAACAACAAACCGGCATGCATGCAGTTGTGCTAAACATACTTGTAGTATTTTAATAAAGAAAACAAAAACTAATTACCTTGAATAGCCATTAGAGAAAGCAGGTCTGCCAGAAAGGTTGAGCGTTCCCAAAGGAGCTAACGTCTCATCCCCTGATCCCTGGCACCTATTCCAATTTTCTGAACTGGCAGGAAGAGATGGAATGATATTAAAAATTGGTTTCTGATCCTGCTGCTGGGAGAGCGATGCAGTATTTAAATCATAGTGATACATCTGTCCCCCAGAGGTACTGACACCATGTATAGATATGGCAGAGACTTTAGTACCCAGCAGATTAGACCCAGAGAAGTTTGCCTGACAATAAATTGGGCCCATGTTTTCTTGCTTTATGCCAGGAGTACAGAGTTCAATGAAATCTTCCTTTTCTGTTTTCACTTGAGGCATTGGCATTTTGGAACTGGGTAAAAGGTCACCACGGTCATTAATTTTAGGTTTAGTGTCAGATAAAACAGGAGGCTTGCAGTCTTCACTGAGATTTCCTTCCAGGAGAAATGCATCATCTGCAGATATAGGGGACAGCAAGCCACCGTCATCTAGCAACGGGTCAAGCCTCCACGGGCTCCCATTGGGCTCTTTGCCAGGCGATACCGGTGGCAATTCTAAATCCTGGAGGATATCCAGGGTGCTTTGGTCTTCAGAGAACAACTTCAAGTTGCCACCATTCGAGCCAACCTGGCTTTGGACTGCAGTTCCTGACTCTAAAGGGACGTTGCGGCCAGCCATGCCTGGGAAATCCGGCTCAAGGGGCACCTCAGAAGATATTGCTCCCTTTGTGTCCTCGGCCAGGCTCGAGGACTTGTTCAAGCTCGCAATACTTTCTTCCAGGAGCCTAAAGTCCGTTTCTCCAGAAGAGATGCCAATTTGGCCCTGCTGCGAAAATCCAAGGTCGTTTCCCATCACTTTTGCATCTGTTTCACCCATGTACAGTCCCATCGAGAGCGACACTGCCTTGGAAAGGTCTGGCTGAGGCACATTGTTTACTAATCCTTTTGAAAAGTCAGCCAAAGCAGGTTGCTGATTGGAATCTGACTGAGAAGACGTGGGGAGAGGAGATGTAGACACAGGGGCTTGTACAGTAGCTCCACCCCTGAAGGGTGGATGAAAGTCCATCACGATCCCTCCTTTGGTACTGATGAGCGCATTTTTCCTTCTTTCGTCTTGATCCGATGAGTTAAGCAATTCTTTGGAATCCATTACTGTAACATTAGCTATAAAAAGATCAGAAGCATTCAAAGTTAGCACAGCAAGGATATTTTAATAACAGCTTAAAAACAAAGTCTAAATCATTAGCCTGGCAAACCTGGTTTAGCTGCTCTGAGAATGAAAGCACAGCAAGTCAAGCTATGAACTGACATGTGCTGCATCTTCCTCAAACCCACAGGTTTTGTTTGGGGGTTTCTGTTTGTTTTTATTTCTGACTGGTAACAAGGAAGTATATTTTTTTAAAGCTTTGCTAAACCTGGATGAAGTGGTAAGTCTGCCTGCGTGCAACTAAGAACCAGACTACAGCACAAGACATCTTTCCGAACACAGTCCCCAGCTCTGTTATCTATCCTAGCAAGTAAGGAAGCATAGGAATTGTTAAAGAACCCAGTTTACACATTTTGGAAGGCTACTTTCCCTGGTATTTAATTACATCTTGAGCAGGGCAGGGGAGAAAGGCGTTTATCACCTTTCCCCAGTCAGTTCCCTCTCTCCCTGCGGGTTTGGATGCATCAGCCACAACAGGTACCAGAGCCTCCCGAGCCAGCTCCAACGCTGTGCTACCAGCCAGACAAAATCTAAGTGGTTTGTTATTGTTCAGGAGCTACACAACCTCTCCACCACAAAACACAAAGTTTGCTATCTTTGCATAGGTTCAGCTTCAAACGCAACTCGTGAATCCTGAAATAAACTCGATGCAATTCTTTAAATAAATCTCAAATTTATAAATAAAACCTAACTAAAAATAAAAGAGAATTTTTATTAGCTTCAAACACTTTAACAGCTCACAGCTATTCTCCAAGCATATCTAACACTGAAAACAAACCTCCTGAGTTTTATCTGTTTGTATTTACTACATTTATTTTCAGCACGGAGCATAAATATTTGGAGAATAAACTGTAAATTCCAAGGCAAACTTTCTATACTATTTGTCTACGGCCTAATACTAACAGCAAACAACGATCGGCTCACATTCCCTCCCCCCAGCCCCCCCCAACCCGTAAGAGGAGGCAATGCCCAAGTTAAAGCCCAGCCACAGAATTATCCATTAAGCAGATCGACCCAAGAGTGCTCACAAGTTTATGGTCGTCTTAATTATAAACCCGCCGCCTCTGTCGCCCATTTTCTCCAGACTGCCGACGAACGCTGCTGCTTTCTGTATGCCAAAGTTAAGGCTGCAATCAACAAGAAGTCCCCACGTGTAAAAAATTTTAAGGTGGCCCCAGCGAGCTTCGGCCTGGGTAAAAATGTCCCGAGTGGGAGAAGCCCAACACGAAAACCCTTCGCGGTCCCTCGACACCAGCTCACCCAGCCTTTCCGTGCGCCCGAGCGGAGGGTCGCTCGGCTGTGCTGCCCGAGGCGCCGGGTCTCGGGGGTCAGGCCCGGGGACCCCCGCACCCACCAGTCGGCCCCACGGCCCACAGTGGGAAGGGGGCAGCCCCCAGCAGCCTCCCAAAACCTCCCGGATTGCAAACGGCACAGAAATAATGCTGGGCTGTTTAAGGTGGACACCGCAACAGCGACTGGAAAAAAAAAAAAAAGATAACTATCTACCTCCAGTTTTGCCTTTTTTTTTTTTTTTTTTTTTTCTACGTGAAGGGGAGGAAAAATGTAGTTATTCCATTTGACAATTTCCCCAACGTCAAAAAAAAGCAGCGAACCATCCAGCGTAGGAAACGTGTCAAAAATCAGATGCAAGAGTCTGCCCGAAGGAGGAAAAAGCTGCGAATACTGAAAACTGCCGGATTACAATAAATTCTCCCTTGTAAAGTATAGTTTTCAGAGAAATGTGTCGAGACCTGTTGAGCTGTCTCCCCGGCACACCCACTTCTGCAAAATAAGACCAGCCCATGGCTGCAAGGCTGCGCTCCCCCCCCCCCTCCTCGCTCCTCACCCCCTTTCCTCGCCCCCCGGACAAACACCCGGCCCAGCCGAGGGGCGGGCGAAGGGCAGGGGCGGGCGGGCTGCGAGCGGCGCAGGGGGGGGGGGGGGGGGGGGGTGTCCCGGGCCGAGCCCTCCACGGCCCCACCACCCCCCCCGGGCACCCCCTCCTCGCGGGGAACACGGCCGCACCCCCCCCCCGTCCCGTCCCGTCCCACTCCGGGATCCTGCCGGGGGCGGCTCAGCTCCCCCGGGCTCTCCCGCCGCCACCCCCCCCCCCCCCCGCCTCCCGGGAACTTCCCGGGGCGAAGCGGCGGCGCCGGCCCCACGGCTCGGCCCCCGCCGCCCCCCGCCGCCCTTACCTCGTCCAGGGGAGGGCGCTGGGGCTCCTTCAGCCGCCAACTGCCATCGCGCCCGGCGGCGGGGGGCGGCAGCCAGCTGGAAGGGGCGAGCGAGTCAACAGCCGCCCCTCCGGGGGCCGCGGCGGCGGCGGCCAGCACCGCTCCCCGCGCTGCTCCTCCTCCTCCTCCTCCTCCTCCTCCTCCCGCCGGCCCAGAGACCCTGACCTAGTCCCCGCCCCGCACAGCACCACCACCGCGGCGCCCCCTCCGTTAATTAGCGCTAATTACCTCCGCGGACTTCGCCTCCCCACCCCACCCCCCCACCACCTCCTCCTCCTCCTCCTCCTGCCTTCCCCTTGCGCCTCCCCGCCGGGCAGCGCCGCGCTCGGCGGTGCTCTGCCCCCGCCACAAAATGGAGGACGGCAGCCTCCTCCTCCTCCTCCTCCCCTTCCCCCTCCCTCCCTTCCCCCCCCCCCCCCCCCCCCCGCCTCCCCGACGTGGAGAGGGAGCGGAGACACGGCCGGCACCGGCAGCACCGCGCCCGCTCCGCGCGGCGCAACCCGCCGGCGCTCGGGCTTCCCCCTCGCTCGGTCAACCGCGGGGCAGCGCCCGCCCGGCCGGCCGGCCCCGAGCGAGGGGGAACGGTGCAACCTGTTGGCTGAGGTGGGCAACTGCAGCCGGGGCGCGGGGGGGCCCGCGCCGCCTGGCAGGCGGAACCTCCGCGCCGCTCCGCTGCCGAGGGGCAAACCCGAGGGGGTGCGGGGAAGCCGGCGGGCGCCAGCCCCGGGGGGGCCCGCGCCACAGAAGCGGCGGGGCCGCCCCGATTCTTTCCTCTTTCGCTTCCTCGAGTTCCTAACGAAGCCGGGGGGGGGGGGGGGGGACACGGGGGGACGGACACCTCCGAGGCGGCCGCTCCCACCGAGTCCTCAGCGGGGTCTCGGCCCGGCCGCGCCTCTCCGCGGAGTTGCGCGGAGTGGGGGCCGCGTTGGAGCGGCACAAAAAGCGCCGGGGAAGGTGCCCTGGAGCTTGGTGGGCAGCTGTAGGGCCGGGTTAGACGGCGTGGGGGCAAATCCGTGAAAAGAGGCCAAAAAACGCGCTCAGAAGAGCTGAAGGAACGAGGAGAGACAGCGAGGGGGCAGGGGGAGAGACGCGATTGTCCCCTGGCTGGCACTGCGAGTGTAGACGTTTCAGCTGAGAAATACGAGTGAACTCCACAAATTATGGTAGCTTTTTACTGAGAAGTTGACAGATTTAGGCATTCTTTAAAATACATGAATAAAAAAGCAACTGGATAGTGCGCCGGTCTGAAGCTGAATTTAGACCGCAGAGGCATCAAAGAGCTGATGGCGGGACATCTCCACGCCCAGCTTCACCCACCACTCCTGCGTGACACGTTTCTGGGCAAGAAAAGACCAGAAACTCTAGGGGCAAACCAGGAGTTGAAACTATAAATGAAATTAAACAACAAAGTAGAAAATTCTGCTGCTTTGAAGAAGTGGAGAAAGAGCCGAGGGGGAAGAGGTTGCCTTTCAGAACAAGTGATCCTCTCGGGTTTGGCTTTCCCTGGAACTGCCAGAAATTCAGGGGATGGGGTGAAGAGAGACGGCGATTGTCCGTTTATGAAGATAGCCATCGTTCCAATTTGGGACAATTAAATAGGCTTGGAGATAATGACCAGATAATGCTTGCACTGGGACTGTGTTGACAAGCAGTTAGTATCTAGAAATGGTTATTATGGCACCCAATAAATTACATAATACAGGTTACATCCATGAAATAAGTTTTTGTCTTTCCAGCTGTTTAAATGCAGGCTTGGGGATTCTTCTACAAGGAATGGCCAAGTAAAAGCACAGATTTTAAAGCACAATTAATCTGCCCTTATTTTTTGTTTAAGTAATAGGTTTTTTTACATGTCATTAACTTTTGGAAGATATTGATTTACATTTAAAAATGAAAAATAAATGTATGCAATGCCAGCTTAATATTCATTTATGTTTCACAAATGATGAAAAATGCTTCTAAAAATTCTAGATATGCTCTGCAATCTCCCTTAATCTAATGCATTTTTGAAAGATGAATCTAAAATAGCACTCAAAACTGCCTTCTGGTGCTTTTTGAATGATGCAATGAATTTACAGCTAACAGGAAACACTTCTTCCCATACAAGGGAAACAGAATAGCAGAAGTCAGAATATTCACAATTACTATGAAATCTTTGTCACCGGGTTCAGGAAGGTGACAGAGGTCCTTGGTATTAAATAAAGGCAACAATGCCACTCAAAGCATGAAATCCTAATGTGCTTCTGGGACTATACCTGGAAAATTCACTTCACTTTATTGCTCTCTGAATATTCTGCCACAGAAACTGTCTTGCATTTGGGGACCCCTCCTACCACTGAAATTTGGTAAATGCAAATGTAGGGTATGTATGGGAGGACATCGGCCTGTGGAGGAGAGCTGTAACATGTTAGCTTCACTTAGCTTCCTGTAGTTTGAGTGAGCTTGTATAACAAAGCTGTTTATTTCTAAGACATTTACATGAGAACATCTGTTTATAAACACACACTCAGATGCTTAATTACAGCTGGTTTTGCACGGTAATGGGTAGGATGTTCATTCTCTAATGACTAATTCCATATCTTAATAATCATCTTTTATCCAAAAGGACCTGATTTTAGATTGCTGTAGAGAATTTATTCACCAGCAGCAGGCAGGGATGCCATACAACAGTGCAAAGCAGCGAGCAGAGGACATCTTACCGGCTTTTCATGCCAGGAACCCTGAGGCAAGCTGGAGTGCGATATGTGCAGAAGTGGGGCCTGGCCAGGGCAGAACAATTCACGTTCCTGCTCTCCTGAAGGATGTTTTTTACTTGTTGCTAGGCACAACAGCATTCGTTGCAAGGTCATGGTTGGTAAAACTCACGACTTATCGGTAAACTGTATAATACCAGTCATGTTCAAATACAGAGTTAGGTTTGTTTATTGTCCTCATGTTGTTACAATACACGTGAATTCTGTCTGTTAGATTTCTTCCCTTTTTAAATGTGTTGTATTGAATTGAGCAGATGAAAAACCTCAGATATTTTGTGTTTCTAGTATATAAAGCTGGGAAAAGAATATTACTGACTCTCACTTCTTTTAGCTGCAGGTGCTACAGAGACAGAAGTAGCGCAAAGCCCGCAGAATCACGCACGGCAGTGACAGGGGAATAACTGCTACGTGGCTTTGGACAAATCTTTCTGGCCTCATGCAAGTTATCCTATGTGACTGAACAACCCGAACATACCATCTCCCTTTGTTCTCCTTTAAAACGAAATGTTCCCTAGGACACTCCTACGTTGTAGAAATAAATGTAATATAAAAACTTGGTAGGCTTGCATGTTTTGGCTAACACTTTGCAATAGTAACATGCTACCCTGTACATAACAACTTAAAACGCGTTATATGTTGATGGTCAGAGTTACATAAACCCCATATTTCCTAGTTTATAAAAATGTATGAGACAAGTTAGGCTTTAAAAGACTTGTGAGTTTTTATTCCTGTTCAACTAAAGGTTTAGAAGAGGATGAAGCTGACTGGCTGAAAGCCCATGGCTTGCATTATGCTGCTGATCTTTTTTGTCCCTTCCATAAAAATCTATCAATTGCTTAACCAACTGGCATTGACAACTCTTATTGGAACATAATCAGCCTTCAGAATATTTTAATTACTGAGTATGAATTTCAGATTTCTTGAATTCAACCTGGTTTCTTTTATATTCACATTTAAAATACACAAATTCTTATGATCGGATGAAAATGAAGGTGGTGCTGGGTTTTAGAAGTGAGTGCACTGTTGTGACAGTCTCATCAAAATCCTCTCAACCCTGATATCAAGATATCTTGATCCTGATAAAAAGCATACCTCTCCCTTCCCCAGAGTACAGCCAGATGCTCTGTCTCTTACCACAGGAACCTCACTAGTTCCCGGAAGAAAAAAATATTAAGAAAGTTCTTACTGCAACCTCAGAATATGTGGTTCATCTTATCCTGTGTCAGTCTAGCACAGGATTTCTCCATCCTGCTGAAAGTGTCAACATAATAAGTTTTGTTTGGGGTAACAGTTTTTATGGCTTTGACTCCTGTTTGATACAGATCTTAAGACAACCACGTCTGCCACAAAATGTCACCATTGTTCAATTATTTTCTACTAACCTGAGCAGAATGGTAATTTGGTAAAATTTGTATTTTTTTCTTGGAATTTAGAGGTGAAGGTTTGGGTTTTGTGGTGTGGGTTTTTGTTTTTTTTTTTTTGTTTTCCAGAAATTCCACTTGTTCTCGTCTTCTAAATATATGTGATGCACTATAACAATCATCATAAAAATACTATGGCTGTTTTACAGGTGAATAGTTAATTAACTAAAGACTTCAACTGTAGGGGGTTTGTTTCCATCTCAAAATGTCTAAAAATAGCATACATATTCATATTTTGTGTAAAGAATAAAATATATTTGGACAAAAAAAGGGAAGAATTATTTCCACAAGCTAGGAAAATTGAATTTGAGGTGGAACTAATAAATATCCTGAAAAAAAGGGGAACAAGGGAAAGACTGGAATATAGTTTCAGCTACCGCACTGTATTGACAATGAAAATTTTGGCTGTAGATCAGTGCCTAATTTTGAAAGAGAATTTCAACAAGCGGGACTGCAGGACTGGTGAGTATCCAGCCTACCCAGTAGTTCTGTGGAGCCACAGGAGGAGCAGAGTGGTATGAATTGTCATATAAGAGATTTTATAAAAATATAAATGACTGCACATTCGTATGCCACAATTTAATAATATTGCAAAGATAATGATCCTCAACCTTAACAAACACTAAATATAGACATTAAAATATATATCTAAGCAGAGACCATTATTAAATCATTAAAACATAATTATGACTCTCATAGAAGAGATCAGGCAATGCATGGAAACAAAGAAATGACTTCAGATTTGTGTACAGCATTCCAAACCAAATGTCAGAAAGAAACATCTGAAGCACTGAAGGGATCTCTCGTGGCTGCCAGATGCAGACATAAATCTGTCTGTCTGGGGGTTAGCATGGACAATACAGAGGACCCGAAGATAAGCAGATCGTGCCACATATGACTTTGAAGTGAGCATGCATAACATAATCCACAGGAAGCATCTAGGTATAAAAATGGTCTGGAGTCAGGCTGGGAAAAAAATTAACCCCCTCTAGACTCAATGAAACAAATAACTGTAAAACAGTCATACTCAAGTATGTTTACAATATGGGGAAATTTCTTTGGTTATGAACTGCTGACAGGCCCAGTAAGAATAGACCTGACACATGGGTCCCCATTGGCAAACATATATAGGCCACTGTGGATCTGTACTAAATCAATTTTAGTGCTAGAAGCAGGCTAGAGAATAAAACGATTGAAGTTTTTCCAGATGAAGTGATGTGCTCATGGAATAGAACAGCAACAACTTTCTCTGTAACCTTCAAGAAATCAGTGTATGAAATGATGTTAGCAGTTAATGGAGATCAGGTTCAGTTGGTTGGATCTACTTTACCGTGGTAGGACAGAGAAGTCTGCAAGCTAAGGGATTGATTTACCAGGATTTCAGTCACAGTACTGAAATGGACACAAATGATGTATTTGATCTCTGAAGCAATTAATAAAGATAAGCTAAAGGAAAAAAACAGATGTTGAAGAAGAGCTATATATCAAAGACAGTGGAAGATGGAAAGAATTTAGTCAAACCGAGGACATGGTAGCACCAGTGACCAAAAGCCATGACAGTGAAATAAAATCTTACTAACTAAATATTTGCAGAGATATCAGAAATTGGAAGATGATTGTTCAGAATTATGTAGAACAAAGTATTTGCACTTTTGGAATAAATACTATATGGAGTCCACAAATAACAAATCATAAAATCCTTAAGCCTACTTGGAAGTACTTCCAAAAATAAGGGTTGCGTTGCCTTTTCATATGAAATGCTAATTCTGTAGCTGTGCATCAAAAACAGCTCAGATAAAGCTACAATTTTATAGGAAGAACTCTTCCTCCCATTGCAATCTGTTGTTTCTCTACAAAAAGGCAGTGACATGCCCAGTGTCTAATGCTCTTCACAAACACAAATCTTTTAAGATCTTGGTTGTCTTGTGAGGAGGTCAGTTTTGTTTCCTATCAGCTTGTAAGTAATTCTGTTTGATTCTTGAATATACATCAAAGTCGTTCAGCCAGTGACTGCAGCCTGACAATAGTTTCCTAGCTAAGCCAGAATGGAAAAACAATGTTCCCCAGCTGCTGTTTCCACGGGCGCGGGAGCACGCTTCCTTACGAACATGCGATGAGCAGCATCCGCACAACTGCAAATTTATTTGTCGGGGGGGACTCCTGGGTCCAAACTCAATCTAAGTGTGCTTTTGCTATTAACTTTAGTAGGTCATAGATTGAGGCACAGAGAGTCTGTGCCATGCCTTCCTTCATTGTCTTTAAGTTAATAACTCTTTGTATTTTTTCTACTTTCTTTGTGGTTTTTTGTTTTTTTTTTTTTTTTCTTTATTTCCAATGCTAGCCCTTTGTCTGTTGTGATATATTTTGCACTTTGATTTTCCATCAGGTCCTTATACTTCTACATGAATGACCGTTTTAGCTCTTCCACCACGCCACTCTCCTTCCTCTTTACAAGTACGGATCTGCTTCATCTTGAATCCCTTTATTTCTTTGCCTTCTCTCTCAGTGTTTTCATTCTCCCCACAGCACTTACAGAACAGAATACATCCCCTCTGGAGTCGCTCTTCTTCCCTCTCCCAGAGCTGGCGTCTGACACATCTTTACCCAGACCACAGCCATCTTCCACCTTCACTGCCTGTGATGGGGATGTCCTGGGGCACCGAGCTCTGCTGGCTTCTCCAGGAGGGATGTGTTAGCTTACATGAGCTGTGATTAGGTTGACGCTAGCAAACACATTTACCTGCTAATTAGGAAGAGTGAACAGTGAAAGACTGCATGGGCACTGCTAATTGCAATATATCAGTATTAAGCATTCAATGCGGAGAAGTGCAGCACTGTAACCAGGGCAGGTGAAGCCTTTTGACCCTTCTCAGGCTCGTGCCTGAATAGAGTAAAATCTTGAAAGAGAAAAGAGTACAGAGGGAAACTCGGTGTGTAACAATACAGTGAAATAGAATTCATGGCAAACGCCTGAACAAAACACACCTCCGAGCATCATCATAAACCAGAAGAAGCTGGAGCCTGTCTCCAATTGATAAAGCCCCACATGGGGTTAAATCTCGTTCTGGCATGATGTGATATCAACTCCTCCTTGTTCCATCAGTGGAGGGTTTAGCCCTTGGTGTTTATTGAAGCTATAAGAACAATTGTGAGTGCTGACTCTAGCCCTCTCTGGATCTATATTAACAAAACATTGAGGGCTGATTTCTTCTGCAGCTGTTTTGTGTAAAAAAGAAATCACAACTGCAACTGGAAATTAATCTGGGGAGGTTACAGACCTACTGAGCTTTCCTGAATGCTAGGATGCATCTCTATCAAATGGATGGAATTCTAAAATGCTGTGACAGACGGTGAAAATGCACTGTTCGGAAATGGGGGGAGAATTAATTGGGTTAATTGAGGAGGAGGAGCGCTTTCAGACAGGCCTTGGGGTGAAGTCACATGTAAGCACACACAAATAACTGTTGTTTTTAAGTTTTGCAGAAACATCTGGCAACAACATGCAAGGAAGAGGAAACTTTTGGTTTACGCATCAAGACCTCTCTATGAAGAAAAGAAAACTAGCTAATTACAGGATGCCTGCAAGAAAAGAACCACCTTTGATTTCACCAGTATTTTTTCCTGCAGCACAATGCCTAATAAAAATCAGTAGCCAGTGACACACCGATTCTAATGCAGCCGGGGCTGTGTGGCCTTATCCAGGCGCCTGCTCCGCTCACCGGGAGGGCTGTACAGGCTCCCCAGTGCTGCCCAGCGGCGCTGGGAGCCGGGGCTGTGCCTGGAGCGTTGCACCCTGTGGCAGGAACACGGGGCCGGCAGCGCCGAGCTCTGCTGAGCTGGTGCCCATCTGGTACCCGTGCGTGGCAAAGAACCCGTGTGGGACCTCCCCACACCCCTGCGGGGTCCTGGGCTCAGCCCACGACTGGCACGGGCAGGGTTACCTAGAGAGGTGCCTCTTGCTGCGGGTGAAAGCCTGGCCTTGCTGGCCAGTTTTTGTGCGAGGTCCATGAATTGCCAGGTGTTAAGTGATAAAAATGATAACAAGTAGGATTTGATGTTCCTGTGTTGGCTCTGCAACGCTTTGGTGGTGATGGTGCTGTGAAGGGGCAAATTAACACACAATTCCAAGGCA